GTAATAACTTATACGCCTTTTGACAATTATTTAAAAATTATATATGAAATGAAAGGTCATTAAATGTACAATATAATTTTATTTACATTATTCGAAATGCCCTCCCCCATTTTGAACACATGCCCTTAATCTACGCGGCCAGTCATCGATCGCTGCACGCACCACATTCATATCTATGTCTGCCGCTGCTTTAACCAGAGATGCTCGGAGAGACTCCAAATTCGGGTGAGGTTTAGCACAGACTTTTTCCTCCAAATATTGCCATATCTTGTAGTCCAGTGGGTTTAAATCTGGACTAGAAGAGGGCCAGTCTTCATGCCGGATGAAGTCAATTCCACGAGCGATCAACCAGTCTTGCGTACTTCGTGCCTTATGAGCCGGTGCAGAGTCCTGTTGGAATATCCAATGCCTGTTCCTGAACATTGTCTGAGAAAGAGGTTCCACTATGTTTGTTAGGACAGTATTTTGATAAACTTCGGCACTAGTTCTCACACCTTTTTCACAGAAAAACACCTCAGTTACGCCTGAATATGAGACTCCAAGCCAAACCATGAATGAGGAAGGGTAATGCCCACGCTGGACCCTCGCAATACGCGCGCTTGCTTCTTCACTGCTGTGGGCATACACCTTATCATTTTGTTTGTTAAAACTTTCTTCAATAGTAAAAATTTTTTCATCCGAAAAAAGAATTTCGCGGTATTTTTTTCCCGCGTACCGTCGTAGCAAAGCGCGGGATCTGTCTAGCCTAATTTTTTTTAAACGCTCGTTCAAAAAATGTCCTGTCTTTTTACGATAAGCTCGTAGTCCCAGGTCTTCATTTAGTACTCTTTTAACAGTGGTTCTGCTTAGCCCCATCTGCAGAGCTAGGATTTTTTGTTTACGTACGGGATTTCGTTCGATTCGCGCCTTCACTGCTTTGATGACCTTATGTGTCCGAACTGTGCGAGGTCGGCCGCTTCTCTTACGATCTTCGAAGCTTGACTCTTCGGTGTATCGTTTGATAGTACGATAAACAAACCGTAACGTTATTTTCAAATTTTGAAGAATATTGAAAATGTCTTTTGGCGCGTAACCACAGCGGTGCAACGCGATAACCGCGATTCTGTCTTCTTTATTCGACCACTCCATATTTAAAAATGAATAAAAAATAATTTCTTTTTTATTTTCTACAAGCGCGAAAGTTCTATTTTTAAAATAAGTCGAAGAATTTCTGGCCAGTAATCGAAAATTAAAAATATAAGGTTTTGACAGAACTTATGACCCGACTAAGTATATATTATATAGGTAGTCTAGTTTTAAGGATTTATAATTTTTAATTATTAGTCATATAATATGTATACTTGACATTATTGTGCAATTTATTTCTAAAATTACATCAGTACGGTCTACGTCATAAATTTAAAAAAGTCAAATAACCAGTTTGGCTTTGTCTGGATAAGCAATACATATATAAATTAGAATAAAGAACGTAATTTGTACATAAATTATATGGCAGTTACGTTTATTAGTACCTAATTAAGTGGTTTTACGATTAGTACCTAATAACTCCTATTATTTAGATTAGGACATACTCAAAACACGTTTTCTCTTTCTTTCAATATAAAATAGTTTTTTTTTATTTATTTAATTAGCACATTCTCGGCGTTCGTAATCATTGGCACAACCGCGTTCGACTATTGACGAAACTGGGTGGCGAACGCGTGAACTTTCGCTTCGGACATCGTCGGAATAACATTAGAGATGCGCTACTACGCGATTAGAATACATAGGTACGTGATTCTTATTTAAAACGTATTGTTATCGAACGTGACGGTTTTCGCTGACGTAGCATATCGATAGAACGAAACGATAATGCTTACGTACACTAGTTATACCTAAGAGTTATGTTAACAATGTCATATAAATAAGAATCGATACTTTTCTATGTACATTCAATGTCATGTGTTACCAACAAAACGCTTTTTTAGTTTTATCGACAATGTAATGTACAATAAAAACACATTTAAATATAATAACATAAGGTTGTACTTTATAAAACTTATTTTACTTATTCAGTTGTAGTCAACCTTAATAAAATTAAATGCTACGCACTTTCGTAGCCGCGTAGCCCGTAGTCCCGTAGTATAGAGGGAGAACCAAGTTACACAAAGTCCTTTTTTACTTACATTTACCTACATAAACTGTTGGAACACTGAAGTTGTAACTCGACGGTAAAGTTGGAATATTACCAAGTTATTTGTCGGTGTTTTACTTACACTAACTTAGAATTAAGTCCCTACGCTTATAAACTTCGGCAACTTAGATTTACTCTTCAAGACATATGGCAGACATATTTTTTGTGTGCCCGAATTTACTGAAATAATATTCGGCGCTTATGAACCGTAGGATATGTATTATTTTTCAAGCGTGAAATCTATTGTTCACTTCTGTTTCTTGTTGTTTAATTGTGCAAAGTTTATTAAACATTATTTTAACATTACAACCTGAATAAGTTAAACATTACGCTGGTTAAATAATACTAAGTAAACAATATAAGAGAAAGCCACATACACGCATATACTTGTAGGTTCCTGTCAAATATATTTGCTGTTGTCTTGAGCTAGAGAGCGTAAAATATATTCAGTTATGCACTTGCAAGAGAACCTCAAATTCTTTGATTTGCTAGTATTTATACAAACTCCCCAATATAATACCCCCTACATACAAATTTTACCTCTTTATAATATTAATATAGATTTACTCTGAAAAAATACTTAAAAAATTACAAGCAACTTTACCCGTGGTATCAGGGTAAAAAGTAGCCCATGTGATTTTAGACCCTATGTCTCTGTTCTAAAGTTCATTCGGAGCCGTTGCTTCTTTTTTACGCATTTTTTTTACAAAGTCCCTAAATCCAGCCATCCATACTTTTTTGGATTTACAAATGACAAAAAAGTTACACTAAACACGTTTCAAAAAAAAAATGTCTTTTGCTATCGAGACTTACTAAGCACAGCACTGTAATATCACATAAAAAGAAAACATAATTGCTAATATACAATAAACTAAATAATGTAAATTAAAAATGCTGTGAAAACTGCAAAAAATGTAAAAGCTAATAATGAACTGATTTTATGTGATTTTTGATGACAAAATCTAATAACGTAAATATTTTTAACTGTTCTGATGAGGATTCAAACACATTCTCTATATTCCGCCTTTTCCTAACAGGGTCGAGGTCAGTACAGTGATGTCAGTAAGTCAGATGAATGTCACCATTTTGTGTCTACTTGACTGTCATCTGTCATATTAGGTGTAAGGACATTTGAGATTTGACATTAACACGTACAAAGCTGACATTTCCATCGTCCATCAAAATGTCTAGTCAGTCTAGTCTAGTTTTTAGAAACAGTTACACGCAGTCACACAGGCTGTCTAGACAGGCTAGACCTTATTCGTGAAATGTGAGTGTGACGTAAAAGTTTATGGTTGGCATTGTTACTGGTTAAGGTCCCACGACCTTTGTTCTGCGTGCGAATGGAGAATAAACCTCATTACCGTACTTCGGGATAAAATGAAACTCAATTAGGAACTCTTTTGTTTGAAACTCGAAGGCATAAATCTTTACAAGAATTATCTTTTTCCTGGGTGTCATCAAAGTCCGAGTGAATAGGTTGCTAATTGGGTAGGCGAGCTCCATCGTAGGTCCCATCATCGCCTACCACCAGGCAAAATAGTAGCCAAACGCAAATCCATTACGTAAAAATAAAAAATAAGAGATCAAGATCAGCTGCTGCAGCAGTATTATTCAACATTTTTTACTTGCTAATAAGGTGTTATAATTTTGATGATGATACCTTGTATACATTATTAATAAATTACCTCATAAGATTATTCAATAAACAGACTTTAAGGAAATGTGTCAGGTCTATTTCTAGTTCTAGGCCTTTTTATTTTTTATGTTTAAAACATTACCTATTATACTTGTTTTATATTAGCATAGCAGGTACCCTAATAATATCATCTATATTAAAATGTCTTCATATCCATATAAATAGTAATGAAATTATAATTTTATCTGAGAGATTTTTTTTATTTAGCCTACAGCTTGTATGAGACCGTCTTTTCATTTTAGTGTTGACATTGTCATCTTACTGTTAACAGCATCATCTAGTTAGGTCAAATTGACATTTAAATATGGCTGTCTGTCAACAGTCATCATTGATGATTGATGACTCATCAACGATGCGAGAAAACAAAAACAATCTGCGTTAATAGAAATGCTAAGAATAATTAGGATTGCAAGAAAAATACATGACAAGTAAATATTGAGATGTCATTCCGTCAGGTTCTAGTGACGAAGTAACCTTTACTAATATTATAAATAGGTAAAATTTGTAAGTTTGTATGTAGGGGGTAATCTTTGGAACCGCTGGTAGGATTGCCAAAATTCTTTCATTGATAGATAGCTACAATGTTCCTGAGTGCTATAGCCTATAATAAACATCACGCTACAATCAAAGGAGCCCAGCAGCGGTTGAAACCGCGCGAGAGTAGCTAATGTTTAATACAGTCGTCAAAAAACCGTCTCAACTAGTGAGGTTTTTATTTCAATTAAGCTAACAGGAGTTTAGTTTGTCATTGAGACATCCCTAAAATGTATAAATTTCCAATTTTTTTTATTATTATTGCTTAGAAGGTACATTTTACATTATAAAAAGTATAAAATGTCCAACAAAACTGTGTACACAGTTTGTCTGTTGGATCAGATCATGGTTACACCTGTTTCAAAACGTATTAACGCTGACGTCATTACAGAGAGCATACATCGGTATCGGAAGCATTATTAGTTCAGCCTAAAATCTGGGACACTGAACCTTTTTCCCAGCACATACAAGAGTCAGGGTTGCGACTATGAGCTCAGAGAAGCAGAACAGGGTTGTTCTTTAGTCAGTAAGAGTGAGACATTCATCACTTTGATGATTAAAAAAACTACATTAGAATTTAGTTCAAAGACTTACCTTGGCACACAAATAGAGTGATAGATTCCATAGTTCCGTAATACGTGAATGAATTCTGGCAGCGTCCGACAGGCGCCCATGATGCTAAATGCTGCTAATGAACAATTCCATATCATTAACGTCCGCCGTAACTCGAATCTGTGGACGAAAAGAAATAATGTATATAAATTTGTGTTCAAAGATTAATTAGCTAAGTACGTGGCCGGGAGAATATAAAACTCAAAGAGAATTTCTCATTCTAGCTACAAAAAAAATTGCGTAGTTACATTAACCAGGGAGCCATCTTATTAAAAATCATACACAAAAAGTAACCCTTTTAAAGCAAAGGGGTAGAAATGTAGAATATTAACACAAGTAAATAAAAAATACTACTTAGTGAAAAAGTCAATCTCTTAGCCATACTTTTCAATGTCATTCTCATAATTAATTGTAGGTACATTTTTACAGAAAGCAATTACATGAAAAAATATAAAAATTAAACATGCTATCTTGTTTGATTTATCTCAGGGAAATCTCGTAGAGGACCTTGAGCAAGGGCAGGTTTTTTTAAATCGACGTTAATTAAAGGTTAAGGCGAACAAGAAGTAGGTATTATTACGACACAATATTATCTATGTAATTATGACTATTTTACTGTTTCACGAACTAATTATTATAATAAATGAGTGACCCTAATAATTGTGTATCATTATATAATCCTTAGAACAACACTGATGATAGACCTAAAGATGTGATATTAAATATAAAATTTCTTAATTTCAGAGACCACAGCTACCTAATAAAACGTAGATACAGATTATATTCATTGATTTTAATATTTTAAACGCTTGTGCACATCGTTGCAATGAAACAAGCAATTTCAAAAAGGAGGATTTATTTATGTTTCTCAAAAAAAGTACAGTGTGGAGTGACCAGATATTAGGACAAACAATCCCTATCACTATAGTATAAAAGAAAGTCGCTTTCTGGCCCTATATTCCTAGGTATGCGTAAATCTTAGAAATAATATCAAGGAAGATTGATTGTTGAGGAGTTTTTATGTAGCTTAACATTTATCAAATTATAGTGAAATTCAGTATCATATACATCAGAGGACTAGTTTTCAAAATATTTTTGTCAATAATTAATTTATTCTATGAACGTCATTCCTATATTTATTAAATACAATAATGATAAATAAGGGGCTTAAAGAGACCATTAGGGTGATAAATAGCTAAGCGTTAAGATTAAACATGCAGTGGTACCATAAATGTGTCGGCCGATAAAACTTGATAGTATATCTGTTATAAATCGATCAATAAGCGGGTTTTCAGAATCTCTAGCTCTGTTACAAGTAAATAGCAAACAGTTCAAAAATACCTTAACAAAACCGACGTAGTGGTAGGCACAAGGGAATTAACTCTTCTAAGTTCTGACCACCCTAAACGGGACCGCTGGTTAACTCAGCTTAAATTATAATCAGTGGTTCTATACCTAAACCTATAACAAATTAATTACCTAACTACTAACAATAAAAAGTGGCGTATAGTTGTCGTTCAAAAAGTGTACGCCATGAATCTTCTACCAGAACGACTTCTGACGACGGCTGTGCCGCTAACGTGTCGCGTTTCCCATTATATGTATTAGTATATAAAAAAATCCAAATCGTCCGTATATGTGTTTTAACAAATTTAATTTTAACAAAACTCTATTGTATCATAATAATAAAGGTGAATATGGAAGTGATAGATAAGGTTGATGTACTGTTCTTCAAAAATTTTATGTGTCGGGTCTTCGGGACCCGAAGCAAAATTATTGTCATAAAAAACACATTAGCGACCGAAATGTTAAATTGATTTTTCTTTTGCTTTAACAGAAAATAGATATTAATGGTAATGATTGAGTTAAAGAAGAAAATAATGAATTGTTTAAAGAAATAAAAACATGATTAATTATTTCTGAAATACGTAAACACTAAAAAAATAAACGTGTTCTTATAGGCGGTTCAAATCTCGAAATTTGTCAGTTAAGATTAACGTAAATGAATAAATTCATGTGAAAAAATTATACCGGTTTTATACTAGTTTCTTGGTTTTGATCATTTTAAAACAAGTTTAATTAATTCTAAAGCTATAATATGTTATTAAATAACTACTTATTGTTCATGGTCACTTCTCAACTAAGACAAAGTTAGGGTTGGCGTGGTCTAAACAAAATTGGGTAAAAATATTAAAGGAAAAATTTACATATTGTGTGAAGACATTTTAGGGTGGTAAAAGAAGATATTGTGCTGACAAGGAGCTTATAATAAAATATTATGTACTTATTTATAATTATATTTAATATTATAAATTTGGTGAGTTTGTTTGTTTGTTTGAACGCGCTAATCTTCAGTTCTACTGGTTTGAATCAAATAGGTAATCCTTTTTGTGTTTGTTAGTAAATTAATCGAGGAAGGCTTTGTAAGAGCCGAGCGACAACAGAGGCTAGTATAATAATATAATTTAGCCAAGTTTTAAGTTTTATATAAGTGCATGTTACAGTACCTATATAATACTATATTCTAACTATGATGTCTAAAGATTCATCGACTCCATCATTAAATCTTTGCCACAGTATTGTGGGGCATAGCTTAGAAGATTGACACATAAAGATTAAATAAAAGTAAGAGAAACACGAAGAAATTAAAATACGCTTTTAATTATACGGTTTCATCATTAAGAGAAATGGGTTTATTTTATGCACCCAAACTTGATAGACAGTAGGCTGGTCAAGGTTCCAGCAGTTTCCTTTCAATTCCTCCTCAGACCAGCTCAATTGCACCACAATATTCCATGATCAACTGATGTTATTTTTCATGCCTATCTAATATTAGATATGTGTGATATTAAGATACTTGGATTTTATTTTATAGTTCGTTACAGGAAGACCTAACGAAAAGGTATTAAAAAGATGAATACATAAAACTAATTTTTCAATACTGAATATAAAACATACATACGTAAGTCTGTACTAGTTTGTACCAGCCGCTTCGACCTCAGTAACATTAGGAAATGGTGTTTATCCAGACTATAATCTATATCTGCGCAAAATTACATACAGATCAATTCAGTAGTTTTCAAGTTATAGAGTAACAAACGTTTATACTTACAAACGTTCGCGTTTAGTACGATATATGTACATACCTAGTAAATACCTATTATCGACAATCTTATCTCTATAAACTATGAAAACTGGTGTCAACCAACTAGCTTCCAAGTAATTAAATACAATCTAAAGTCAATATGTCAAAATCTGTTTGACATATTGACGTCTATCGGCCACGATAGCGCCTAATTCCCTTGTTTGTTTATCAAGTACACATAATTAAAATTAATTATACATTTACAATGATTAGTATTGGCTACCGTTCAATGATTGATAAACTCGATGACGAGGTACGGGTCATCGAATTATGATGATGTCGATAGAATATTACGTGAAAATGTCAGCCAAGAATAGACTTTAGGGAAAGGAAATAAAGGTGTGAGCTGAATTAAATTAGTATGTATGTGCTGTACAAGGTTTTTGACATTTGACATTGACTAACAGACATTGACACTGAAATACCGAAAAAAAATTACTCTTTAAAATAATTAACTAAATAGATTAAGTTACTTTTTTAATGCTATTATTTATTTTAAGTTTTCCGATCCCGATAATTTTATTTCGAAAGTATTTTATTAAAATAACACCAAATCATTCAAATGGAATGCGGAAACTTGATGTATTCGTTTTCATTTGAGTAACAAACAATTTATTGTGTGCGTACCTACCTCTGGGAATATTAATTCGGTAGCCATTTACAAAGTAGGAATGTTTAATTAAAACCTTTTCAAACAAATTGTTTTGGATGCCACATTTTATAACCATTATATTATTTTGTAGCATAGAGAAGCAACCGAGTGGTTGAAAAAAAACAATACATTTGGTCACACACCAAGACCCATAAGACTACCACAGATGTGGCCCACTACGGCTGATGTCCAGACAGGGTTGCGGGTACCTGGCTGGCTGCATAGCAGGAGAATTAACGAGGCGCTTTCAATCAGCCTGAAGATCCCTTTCGGGCCACCAAGGGCAGGAGAAGTAAATTAATGATATTTCCCACTTTAAAAAAAGTTACTACTACGCTTTACCTACTTATATTTGACTAAGACCGGGCAGAAGCGCTCTATGATAAATCGCTGCCTGCCAAGCGTTAAGACTGGCCATTTATGTACACTAACCTTCCTCAAGCTGATGATTATAAGATAAAATAATCTTAAAAAGTATAAGATCGACGTCTCAATGAAATTTTTATGATTGATGCTTCGATTTTCGATTTGAAATTTGGCAAGTTTTCAAATTCTCATTCCGTTCGAATTCATATGCAAAAATAGTCATAGAATCATCTCTACGTAGGTGTTTTTACATGAGAAAATGTTAATTTGAGTTTTTGTACATTATTTTTTTCTTATAGGAAATAGTAAATAGAAATATGGAAATCTGCAATTTTATTGTAGTTTGTACAAAGTGTTACTGCGAACAATTTCCTCGCCAACTTGGATTACATTTTGCAATACTAGTACAATAAAAAACAAATGAATATGTTAAACGACGATTTTTTTTAACGCTCAATGATATTTTAATAATATCATTTACATACTACCTACATAATCAAACATTATAACTCGGCTCAACGAAATAAAAAAAACATATTATATTTATAGTATTCCTTTTTTAAAGCATTTTCTTATAAACAATACAGCGCCTCTAAATTGATTCGATTAGTTATATGAAAGTGTTCTATTTTTAAAAACGTCATTCTACTTTCGTTAAATTCGCACGATCATTTACAATAAAATTGACTAACTAACTAACTATTGAAATAGCAATGACACGACTTTCACATTTCAGTTACAGAACTGCGGTGTTATTTGAAAATGTAAGAAAAATATTTTTCTACGTAGAACAGAACTTTTCATAAAGAGATGTATGAAGTGAGAAATTATTGGATGAAATTTATAAAAAGTTTTGTTACAGAAGCAAGTTTGTTTTTTAAGACATCGATCAAAAAAAAAACAAAACACTGGATCATGATATGACGATTTTAGTAAATAACAAAGCAGGAGCGGTAA